GAGCTTGGACATTTTTAAAATTTTTATAAGCGCCCTGGCCGGTTTGGCTCAGTGGATAGAGCGCCGGCCTGTGGACTGAAAGGTCCCAGGTTTGATTCCAGTCAGGGGCATGTACCTTGGTTGCAGGCACATCCCCAGAAGGAGTTGTGCAGGAGGCAGCTGATCGATGTTTCTCTCTCATCGATGTTTCTAACTCTCTATCCCTCTCCCTTCCTCTCTGTAAAAAAATCAATAAAATATATTAAAAAAAATTTTTTTTATATAAGCCAGGTTTTCCTTTCTAGGAACCAGCTAGTCAGTGAATCTCATTACTTTGCTCAGAACACACCAAAGCTGATCTCCTTGGAGTCTTTGCTGTTGTTTCCTCTCCCAGGATGCCATCTCCCTGGTTCTTCCCATGGCTTTAGCTGTAAAGGTCCCTCTAGACCAGCTCAGATACCCCACCACCACCACCGCCACCCAGTGATCCTCCATCCCATTTCATCTTGATTGTAGCACCCATTGTTATCTGAAATGACCTTATGCATGACCTCATTCATTCATTCATTCATTCTTCATTCCTTCCTTCTCTGACTGCCCTGCTGGTCTTGTTGGTCTTGCATATCACTCTATATCCAACACCTGGAACAGACCAGGAAGTCGTGTGGGTCAAAACACTGTTAGCAGATGAATAAACAAATTAATTCCTGGATGATGAAGAAATAAGATTAGCTTCTGTCTAGATGTACATCCCATTTGGGAATCACTTGTACCTGGATCATTCAGTCCTGTATCCATCGTGGAGAACTGTAGTGGTGATGACAGAAGTCAAATGAGGTGGCTTAGGGGAGGACGAGCCAGGGGAGGTGAGTGCAGCCCCAGGAGGCCTGGGGCCATCAGAGAGATGATGATAACTTATTTTTATCTATTTCTCTTGGAAAATAAGGCAATTACTTGAGCAGTGTTAAATGAGTAGTATTAAATTCCTCACATATATATTGGAACTGGTATAGAAAGTATGGGAAACATGAAATTCAGAAGGGCAGGGCTGAGTAATGTCAACACAGGCTTGTTTGCGTCGGATTAATTTCCACGTAAAACAATATCTGTGCCTAGTCAATTGGAAGCACCAATTCTAGATAAGTGTTAGCTGTTATTATAGGTAACTGTAACTCTCTGGTTGTAAATAATAATTAACACGTAGAGAGTACTGCCTCTGTACTGTACAAAGCTCTGTGCACTGTACACACATGAATCTGTCCTCACAACCACCCCAGTTATCGCATTGCCTTGTTATTGATGAGAAAGTGGGGCACGGAGCAGCTTTCTCAAGGCCACAGAGCGACAGAGCCAGGATTCTACTCTGGCGGCTCCCTGGAGCACTTATCATTCCAGGCCACTGCCTCCGGGCTTCACAGTGCTCTGGAAAGAGGTGCGGAGTGACCAGGAGAAGCTTTGCATAGTTCAGAGGTGCCCCATCATCTCTTGGCAAAATACTTAACGAGTTGTCAAAATTACAGATATTCTCCATTTTTCTTTTATGAAGTGACAAATGTTGAAAATGTATTAACTTTCTCCATGAAGAAAGGAGACTACTTAACCATGAAAAAAAAAAATCCAGGGTAAAGGTGATATGTAAAGATTGAGAAAGTAACTAGTTTGCAAGAGGAACATCCCATGGGGCAGTGGTTCTCAACCTCGGCTGCACATTAGAATCACCTGGGAATCTTTTTAAAATCCTGATTTCTAGGCCTCATCCTCCGGAAATTCTGTTTCTTTGTGGGGCCACAACCTTAGTAACAAAGAAACAGAATTTCCGGAGGATGAGGCCCAGAAATCAGGATTTTAAGTAGATTCCCAGGTGATTCTAATGTGCAGCCGAGGTGGAGAACCGTTGCAAGAAAGCCACCGACATCCCAGGTGTTTACTTGCTCCCAGGTGGAGTTGTTGCTGAAGGCGGGGCTGTGCCCCGAGCTTGCCAGGACCTGATCATCACGTGGAGCCCGAGTTAAAAAGACCCAGGATCAGCTCCGAGTCCGGGAGTGGTCTGGGAACCTGTGTTCCCAACACCTCCGCGGGCGGGGGTTCCGCTGTGGCGAGCGCGGGCCCCTGGGGTTTCTCCGCGTCGGTAAACCGCCTGCTGTGAGGTTACTGCCGTTGACAAACCCTAGGGGACCGCCTGCGAGAAGAGCATTTTTATATTTCCCCAAAACCGAGCTGTTTTCCTCCACCTTCCTGTTTTCAAGTTGTGAATTGATTCTAGGATGTTTGCGTAACGCAGTGGTTCTCCACCTCGGCTGCACATTAAAATCACCTGGGAATCGTTTTAAAATCCTGATTTCCGGGCCTCATCCTCCGGAAATTCTGTTTCTTTGTTACTGATGTTGTGGCCCCACCCCATAACAAAGAAACAGAATTTCCGGAGGATGAGGCCCGGAAATCAGGATTTTTAAAAAGATTCCCAGGTGATTCTAATGTGCAGCCGAGTTGGAGAACCACTGGTGTAACACGGGGTGAAGTCACTCGAGGTTAAACATTTAAAAAATTTTTTAAAAATTAAAGCAATTTTAAAGATTTCTTTGGGATGTATGTACACATAAACGTACTGCCATTTGAAAATAATGCCATTTGAAAACGTAATTCTAGGCCTCCGAATGCTAGGGTCTCCTTTTGGAATGTCGCAGAAGGGCCATGGGTAAACTGGGGACAGTGGTCATTGCCCCTGGGGAAGCTGAAGGGGAGGGCACCCGGCATGGAGGGTGGGTGACATCTGACCCCCTTATCCCGCTGGAGCCATGTCCCTGTGCACTTGCCTGCCTGAGCTGTCTGCACTCTGCAGCTCAAGGGCACACAACTGGATCCGTCAATCCTCTCTGCGGGACACCTTGTCATGACTGATCCATCGCTGGCCTGTGTTTGGTTGCTTGTTTGTTCCTGAGTTTATTATGACATAATAAGCACCAGGGCTTACCCAAAACTAAGCCCTTAACCAGAACCTACATCTCATCCACCTTCGCCCTCCCTCTCCTCTAATTTAATAGCCATCAACCTAAATCCTACATATTCATTCCTTTTTCTTTATAGCAAGTTTTTTATTTTTTGCTATAAGAATACCCACAAGTATTTTAAAAAATATATACCATTTTAATTTTAAGAGAACTTCATATAAAGGGTATGTAATCTTCCAGGAATTATTTTTCCCACACTTAATAGATGACTAAAATCGCCTAAATTGCTGTGACTGGCATTTGTCCATTTTAACTAGTGTGTAATATTCCATGGTGCGAACGTACCAGAGTTCATCCATCTGCTCTCCTGTGGCTGGGCACGGGGATTGTTTCCTGGTCTTTGCCATGTGTGCGGTGTTGACTCTGATCTATGATCTTTCTAAAAAGTGCCCTAGTTTCTTACTAGTAAGTGAATGTCCACAGAGGTCAGAGGGTGGGTGACTAGGAGATAATGGCCCTGATTCATGCTTGCCTGCAGGGCAGGAGCTTCTGTGGGGCCACATCCTGTCTTAATTTTTGCCAATCAGACTGATCCACAGTGATAGTTCACTATGATCCTGCATTTCCCCTGCGTGCAATGTTTCAAGAAAAACAAAACAAAATTATTGATGTTTTCCACAAATATAATGACAGCAACTGATGACACGTGTTTCATTTTTCGAAGACACTTTTTAAATATTTTACACGACATGCATTCAAAGTTGTGCTAAATTAAGTTTACCGCTGTGTTTGGTTTTAACGGTTTGATTTCAAGGGTCATAATTGAAAAACTGTAAAAACTATAACACAGGATATAGAAATCTAAATGAAATCCAGATATGATTGGCTATGCTGAATAAGTTGTTCTGCTCTTTCCATTCCATTTACCCAGTATACATATTGACTCGTCATTAAAAAAACAAAACCCAGCCTGGAAATGCTCCTCTTCCCTGCTAATCATCTGGGGCTTTTGCAAATTCAACGGAAACGGGTGCATCTCCGTATCTGGAAGTGGATTTCAAACCCACAGGTGATGCTCAGACAGATTAGAAATTCTGTTGCTAAGTTTAAACATTCAGATAAAGGTGTTTATGTCATGATTTTTCATTGTTTTCAGCAGCGGTTCTCAACCTTGGCTGCACATTAGAATCACCTGGGAATCTTTTTAAAATCCTGATTTCTTTAAAATAAAATTATTTCTTTGTTACTAATGTTGTGGCCCCACCCCACAATAGAGAAACAGAATTTCCGGAGGATGAGGCCCAGAAATCAGGATTTTAAAAAGATTCCCAGGTGATTCTAATGTGCAGCCAAGGTTGAGAACCACTGTCCCAGCCAGTCTGAGCACGAACGCCAATTAGCGCGCGCACACACACACACACACACACACACACACACACACACACACACACACACACCGAGGACCACGCCTCAGTTGCCTGCTGGGCGGGGCCCGCGGCCCTGGCCCAAAGGCTTCTCCGGTGTGGGGCGCTGGACCCGGCTGCGCAAACACGGATTCCCGGGCTCCACCGCCTGGAGCCAAAACTTTCGGAATCTGTATTTTTAATCGGCTTCTCCAGGAGCAGTGGTTCACCCTGCAGTTGGAGACACTCTGCCTCATTTGAATTTTAAATTCGAATGTACAGCCAAGGCTGAGAGCCACGAGTGGAAGTCGTGCCTTTACGACTCTCAGAACAACCTGGAGAGGTTGAACCCCCCCACCCCCACCCCATCCCTGCAGCGCCCGGGTTCCGTCCAGGCCAATTGAGTCTGAATCTGGAAGCGCCGCCAGGGCCTCACCCGGGAGCTCGTTAGGAATCCGAAAGCTCAGGCCCCAGCCCGACCCACCGAGTCAGAATCTGCATTTTAACGAGCTCCCCGGTGGTTCCTGCGCACATTCGAGTTGGAGGCGAGTGGCGCTTCTGAAATGTTAATGGGCACACGAATCACCTGGGGAGCTTGTTAAAATGCAGACGTGGTTTCTCCAACTTTAATGCGCACGCGATCACCCGGGAGCTCGTTACCATGCAGATTCGGATGCGCGGCCTGGGCGGAGGCCGAGCGTCTGCGTCTCTCCCGAGCCGCGGGGGGTGCGGCCTGCGAGGCGCGGACCGCGCTCCCGGGACCCGAGGCCCTGGCCCCGGGCCAATCAGCCGTCAGGACTCGTGATAAATCGCCCGGCTCCGCCCAGGAGCGGAACCGCGGGACCTGCGCGCTCCGCCGAGGGGTGTGACTTCCCAACTCCGCGGCCGGGCGGTGTGCAGCAGGCCCCTCGCGGGCGGTCGCGGGCGCCGGGTCGTCACGCCATGTCGCGGCGCAAGCAGGCGAAGCCCAAGCAGCTGGCCCGCGCGGAGCCGGAGCCTGCGCGCCGGGAGGTGGCGAGGGTGGCGCGCGAGGCGGCCGGGGAGTCGGGTGAGTAGCGTTGCGGTCGCCCCGCCAGCGGGCTGGCTGCCGTTTCTCGGGTGTTTCCGGGCCCGCGCGGGTGCGAGGTTCCGCCACCGGGCGTGGAAGGCGGGATGAAGCTCCCAACTTGTCCCGGGGCTCGGGCGGCGGCGCCCCGGCCCCTCCCCCACCGTGTCCATTTCCCTCCTGCGTGAATTCCTGTGTCTGCGCGGACCGTGAGCGGCGGCGAGGATGCCCTGGGACCCCTTCCGGGGCTGCCTGCGGGGTGTCGGGACTCCGGCCCCGAGCCCTCTGGCGGCGCCGCGCGCCTGGACAGCAGGCACTGAGCCCCGCGCGCAGAGCGACCTTCTGGAGGATGGAGAAATGTCTGCAATGTCTGAGCTGAGCGGGGCCCCGGGCTTAGTGCTGGAGAGGGACACAGCGAACAAGGCGGACGGAATTCCGGCTCCGCCGCAGCTGGTGGCCCGTGCGGAGGACAGAGCTGGCCCGCGCGCTGGAGCGCGAAGTGGTTAGGGGTGCGCTGTGTGTGTGTGTGTTGGGGGGGGGGGGGCGCCAGAAAAGCACTGGGGGGAGGTGAGCCCGGGGCAGGGGGCTCTTTCACAGGCGCAGCCCGGGCAGGCCGTGGAGTGAGCACCTGAAGGTTGTGAGGGAGCGAGCCGTGGCGGTGCCCGGGGGAAGCGCGTTCCAGGCGGAGGGAACCGCAGGTTCAGAGGGGAGGGCTCGCGGGCTGGAACCTGCGGCGGGTCAGACGAGGTCCCAGGGGTGACGGGGGCGCCGAGGACTCCTTGAGGTTGTGCCTTTTACCCTGGAGGAGTGAGTTTCTCCAGATCAGTGATTCTCAGCCTTGGCTGCACATTAGAATCACCTGGGAATCGTTTTAAAATCCTGATTTCTGGGCCTCATCCTCCGGAAATTCTGTTTCTTTGTTACTAATGTTGTGGCCTCACCCCATAACAAAGAAACAGAATTTTCGGAGGATGAGGCTCGGAAATCAAGATTTTAAGAAGATTCCCAGGTGATTCTAATGGGCAGCCAAGGTTAAGAACCACTGCGCTAGCGGGAGGGGGTGTCGGGTAGGCGGTGCCACAGTGGGACTTGCCAGGCTCACCTCGGGTGCCCCGCAGCCGGTGGAGCCCCGGCGAGGCGGAAAGACCCTCGGCGCCCCTAACACCTTGGGGCGGTATTTCTCACCCTGGGGCCCCTAGAGCCACCAATGCTAAAGCGTCTTCGGAGTAGGGCGCTTTGCCAACTGGTCAAATTCTTACGGCCACTCTCAGGTACCCCACCCCTTGGAATGTCGGGGGTAAGGATGGGGTGAGGTCGGGTAATCTGTACTTCTAAAGCGCTTCCGCTCCTGATTATCTTGCACTCAGACACTGATAAAGACGAAGTAATCTCGCCTCCCTCCTCCTTGCCTTCCCTCCCCCTCCCTCTTCTCGCCACCCCCGTTTAGCTGATACCTTCTTCTTAGGAAGGAAGTGGAGTTTTAACTGCATTGTCTTTTCCCCTTCTGCGTTTTTCTGGACCGGGCATCTCTGGGAAGGCTCAGATCCCCAGCAGCGCTTAAAAAAAAAAACACCTCTCCCCAGAAGGTGGCGGAGGGGAAAACCCTTAACCAAGCCACTCCTAAATTAATAGTTTGTATTTGGAACTAAAGTTTGGCTGCATGAATTATCGTAACCAAAATTCCATAACTACTATGTCCAAGGCCTAGAATGGGGACAGGTAGCTGGACAAGGGCTGTCTTTCTGGGGTGGGGACCAGGCCTCCTACTGGTCCTCATGGAAGGACTTGGGGATGTTGAATCTTTAGGGGGGAGTGATTATTGAAGACTCCCTGAACACCCCAGGCTGCTTTTCAAAGCTCTCTCTACTTTTTATCCTACCAGCAGAGCTGGCCCTGGAGTGGGACGGTGTTCCCAGGCGTTGGGGATGGTGTTCTGTACCCTGCAATACTGGGGTGTCCCCTGTGGTCAGGGCATAATCAGAATGACGCCCCAAACACGCCTCAACAGCGGCCACCACTGCAGAGAAAAAGCACCCTTACACTGATGGGGTTGTTCACCTGTCTTACATCTGTGGTGCTGAGCTGGAGGCTTGCCTTTTTTTTTTTTAAGTTAGGCTCCTCTTGCAAATAAATCGCTTTGCAACCAAAGTAACTTTTGGAGGAAGTATAAGGGAGCCGGTCAGTTGGTAGACTTTAATCTCCACCAGTAAAAGAAGGAAGTAACAGAGGGGCAGGAAAACCTTACACAGTAACATCAGCAGTTTCTCAAAGGGTTAACAAAGGCCATTGTGCTCACCGAGGTTCTAACTGTCAGATGTGTGCTCCACCCCCTTTCCAGCGGAAGGTCTCTGCTCTGCTCCAGCTGTACCTTTCCCAGGGGAGCCAGGGGGCCTTGGGTGTCTAAAGGTGACGGAAGTCTCTTGTGGCCCTCGATAGCTATTGGGCACAGTTTTCTGATAACTAGAACTCATCCATCTCCTGCCTGTTTTGAATTTTGCATTGCACAATGCATTTCCCTCCCCAAGAATCTGGCGGTGCACATGTGTACACACCAATGAATAAGACCAATAATGTTTACATCATGCTCACTTACGTGCAAGGTTCTTTTATAGATGCTAAATTCAATCACCTTCATGTTAAACCTGTAAGTTAGGGGCTAAATCCCCATCTTACTGATGTGGCCACTGAGGAACAGCAAAGTTGAGTAACTTACCTAGGGTCACACAGGTAATAGATGATAGAATTGGAATTTGAAACTTACTACCTGCCTTCCCGGTCATATCCCTCTCACTTAGATTTCAGCTTTTCAGTCTAACTCTGACCGGTTAAAACACTCAAGATTTTGATGGGTTTTTTTTATTTTTGAAGGGGAAATTGCTCAGTAGTACAGGTTTGGGTTTTGCCTGTGAGGGGCATACTGATCTGCTTCAGAGACGGCAAGTGTGGGTTCTAGTCGGCTGAAAACTTCTAGCCTCTGTGATCTTGAGCATCTCCTCTGAGTCATTTTCCATCCTCCCGAGCAGTTCTTAAAGTGTGATCCCCAGACCAGCAGCACCAGCTGGGAATTTGTGAGAAAAATCACAGGCTCCCCTCCTGAATCAGGAACTCTAGAGGTGGGGCCAAGACGCCTGTGTCTAAACAAGCCCTCCAGGTGATTCTGATCACTTGTTAGACAAGCGAGGGTGTGGAGTTGTGCTTCTCTGATTTTAACGTGCAGAGCAAGCATGTCAAATTCGTGGCCCACGGGCTGCATGCCTTGTTTATTTGGCCCGTGTTAGCCTTTGAGGTTGACATGCTTGGTGCACCTAGGACTTGTGAAAGAGCAGGTTGCTTCTGTAGGTGGGACAGAGCCTGGGGTGGGCCTGAGATTCTGCATTTCTAACTCGCTCCCATGATGCTGAAGTTAGTGCTCGGTGGCCCACCCTTAGAATAGCAGAGGTTTAGAGGAGTAAGACAGTCACTTGGGGAAGGCTTTAAAATGAAGTTCCTGGGGATCTACCCTAACACCCCCTCCCTCTGGGGCAGTGGTTCTCAACCTTAGCGGCACATTAGGATCACCTGGGAATCTTTTTAAAATCCTGATTTCTGGGCCTCATCCTCCGGAAATTCTGTTTCCTTGTTACTAATGTTGTGGCCTCACCCCATAACAAAGAAACAGAATTTCCCTGATTTCTGGGCCTCATCCTCCGGAAATTCTGTTTCTTTGTCATGGGATGAGGCCACAACATTAGTAACAAAGAAACAGACTTTCCGGAGGATGAGGCCCAGAAATCAGGATTTTAAGTAGATTCCCAGGTGATTCTAATGTGCAGCCCAGGTTGAGAACCACTGCTCTGGGGCACTCATTTAACCCACAGTGCAGGTGATGCTGATCAGGTATGGGACCGTCTTGAACCGTCTTGTCTCTTGTGCAATGTATGGTGTTCAGCAATATCCCTGGCCTTCACCTGCTAGATGCCACCGTCCCCACATGATCCTGACAATTAAAAATGTCCCCAGGCATTGCCAAAAGTTCCCCGGGGCAAAACGAACCCAGGATTGGATCACCTGTTCAGACCCTGTTAAGGGGCCTCCCACAGAACTTTCTAACGGAAGCTCGTACTCAGACAGGCTGGGCCCTGTACTGAGAATTCACATTGCTACCTCTTAGCCCTGAGACAGGTCAGCGATTCCTTTTTCCAGGTGAGTCAACTGTGGCTCAGAAAGGTTACATAAGGTGCCAGTAGGCACACAGCTAGTTTCATGGCTAAGCAAACCCTGTGCCTGGAACCCAAGCGCTCACCAATGTGCTGCACAGCCTCTCGTGGTCAGAGAAGGTTTACCTGGATAAACCCTCAAGGAAGATGGAAATCAACCTTCTGTACTCGGGTAAACCGAAGCCCCAGACCATGGCCTCTAATTCATAAGTTAGTCGGGATCTTTTTTCTTAAAGACTTCAGACATGGCTCGCACCTCTGTAGGAGGGAGTACTTAGTCATTGTTATGGAAACTTTTTATTTTTTTTAATATATTTTATTGATTTTTTACAGAGAGGAAGGGAGAAGGATAGAGAGCTAGTAACATCGATGAGAGAGAAACATCAACCAGCTGCCTCCAGCACACTCCCTACTGGGGATGTGCCCGCAACCAAGGTACATGCCCTTGACCAGAATCGAACCCAGGACCCTTCAGTTCACAGGCCGACGCTCCATCCACTCTGCCAGACCGGCCAGGGCATGTTATGGAAACTTTTTAAACTGCATATTTAGATGAAGCCATGTTACATTGTCACCCAGTCACCTGGGCCCATGAAAACAAGGATAGCACGTGGCTCCACCTTACTGAAAATAGAATGACACAGTGAGTTCCCTTGTACCCATCGCTGGGCTTCACACGTGGCCAGCCGTGTTTCTTCCGTACAGCTGTTCCCCTTCCCTGGGGTTTTTTTTGAAGTGAATCAGACATATGTGCAATTTATGAATATTCATCCCTAAACTATGAGAATGTTTTTAGTAAAAGTCTTAATTTTATCTTCCCACTTGAAAAGTAAAAAACCACCTCAAACTTTTAGTTGGGTTCAGCTTCCCACCGTCTTCAATGGTTTTACAGTCTGTTGAAATCAGACTCAAAATCCTGGTATTACAGACCATCATCAAGTCTCAGGCCCTGGTTTTCCCCCTTCTTTCATGTCATCTGCTGAAACGCCTGCCTTTCGTCCTGGGGAGCCTCGGGGCTTGAACTGTGGTCTGTGACCTGTACTGCACTGAGGCAAACAAGTTCGGAAATGGGAAGTAAGCATTTAAAAATAGCCTGACATTGCCACGGCATCCAGCTTTCTGTTCTGTCCGTAATAACTCCTGGCCTTTTGTTCTTGTCTTACTTCACTTTTCCCGTAATTTGTGTTGATTACCTTTTTATAAAATTGTGGCCTGTGATGGATTGGACATTCTCTTCCAAAGTAGGTCGTTGGGAGGCGCTTTTGCCAAGTTTGGCAGCCTGGATCTGGCCAGCCGCCTCCCTGTCACGATGCTGTGTTCTTTTGTCCCCTGTATTTCCTGGACACTTGTCATTAGATGAAGATGGCTTTTCTAAGACCAGAATGCATGTGGCTTTCAGTTTTTAATGTTTTGTGTGTGTTTTTGAGAAGTGATGAAGGTCGGTGGAGTCAGCCCGCGCCTGCTCTATTATAAGACTTACATGATGCTAATATTTGAGAAATTAAGGAACACCTTTTGGTCTCCTTTTCAGCTTCAGAACTAGATAATGATGCCCCCAAACCAACTTGTCCCTCCTCTGACAGCAGCGACACCCAGAAAGCCCCTGTCGTGGCTCCTCCTTCCGAGTCAAAGCAACAAACGGCCACCCTTGGAGAGAGGACATTCAACTGCTGCTACCCAGGTAAAGGGCCACCTGGGGCGCGCGCCCCTCGGGCGCGGTCCAGCGCTGCGGGAACTCGCTCCTGAGCCCTGAGCGCGCCCCGCGCTTCTCTTGCGCATGCGCAGCGGCCTCCCCTGTGGGTCCTGAGCATCGCTGCTCAGCCTGTGCCTCACCGGAACTCCAGCTCATAGTAGCTTCCTTTTGGAGGTTATATTTTTTTTTCTTTCTCTTCCAGGTTGCCACTTCAAAACTGTTCACGGCATGAAAGATTTGGACCGCCACCTACGAATCCATACGGGTAGGTGCCCATTCATTTGCTCAGCATTTTAGTGTTAAAAGCAAACGGCAGTACACAGCAAAGGGATAAGAATTAAGTGCTAGGTATATAGGGGTGAGCAGGACAGATAGCGGTCTCTGCCTCATGAAACGCAGTCCAGTGGTGGGGGAGCTGTGACCTAAAAAAGTAACAAATAGGCCAAAATGTTAGCTAACAGATACGGGGAAAGTGCTCAGGAACCTATGTTAGAGGGATGTGATCTAGCTCAGAGGCTGGGGAGGAGCAAAATTGGGTATGAGATGCACGTGAACTTGGACACAGATCCTCCAGCCCTCGGCAAGCCTTCACAGAATTGCAGGCCCAGTCAGTATCTCAATTATAACCTAACTAGAGGCCCACATGGGGAAGGGTGAGTCCCTCAGCCTGGCCTGCGCCCTCTCGCAATCTGGGACGCCTCGGGGGATGTCCAACTGCTGGTTTAGGCCCGATCCGGCAGTCAGACATCCCTCTCAAAATCCGGGACCGCTGGCTCCTAACCACTCTGCCTGCCTGCCTGATCACCCCTAATTGCTTGCCTGATCACCCTTAACCGCTTGCCTGCCTGCCTGATTGCCCTTAAACACTGTGCTTGCCTGCCTGATCACCCCTAACCACTCTGTCTGCCTGCCTGATTGCCCCTAACTGCCCTGCCTGCCTACCTACCTGATCACCCCTAACTGCTCGCCTGCCTGCCTGACTGCCCCAAATTGCTTGCCTGCCTGATTGATTCCCCCTCACTGCTCGCCTGATTGCCACTAACCACTCTAATTAGCATATTAATCGTTTATTATTATAGATGAGAAACCTTAGCCAGAACTAACCAGCTAGCCTGCTCCTCAGAAATTTACTGAGATAATGGTTGCTGTTGTTGTTAAATGGGCATGCGATGAAGTTGGACAGGTTGGCACAGTAATCTTAGATAAGAGCAACAAGGTGGCACAGTAATCTTAGATAAGAGCAATAGGTTGCTTCTTAAAGGTGCCTTCCGAGGTGCAACCAGCTGCCGAGAACACAGAAATAAGAAGCTGGAGTGGAAGGATTCCCTGCTGTACATCTGGGTCTGCACACCGTGGCCCATGGGCCCGTGGAGCTGGCGTGCTCCTTTGCCCACCTACCTTTGTGGCTGCTCTGGCCCTGCAGTGGCATCATTGAGTAGTTACTGGAGAAATGGGATGGTACACAAAGCCTGAGATAGTGACTGGCTCTTTACAAAACTGTGCCAACCTTTATAGTGTAGACACTCCACTAGGTAGTGTGAGTTAGGATACTACAGTGGGGCCTTGACTTACGAGTGTCCCGACTAACGAGTTTTTCAAGATATGAGTCTCTCGGCCGATTTTTTGCTTTGAGTTGTGAGCTAAAATTCGGGTTACGAGCCAGCTTCAGATACCCCACCGCTAGTTGGCGCAGCCAATGTCACAGTGAACGCCACAGCATCAGCCCAGCTTCACGTGTCTCACTCGTTCACTTTAAGCGGTTAGCTCTTAGTTGAAGCATCCGTGTTGTGCTCGCATTTGTGCTTGCAGTTATTTTGCAAAACTTCGTTTTTTCAACCATGGATCTGAAGAAAGTAAGTGCGAAGGACGGTGCTGAGAAGAAGAAGCGGATGATGTGCATTGAATTAAAGAAAGAAATTATCAAAAAACATGACCAAGGTGTGCGTGTAATCGACTTGGCGAAGCAGTACGAGCGTAGCACTTCTACGATCTGCACCATACTGAAGCAGAAGGAGTCGATACAGGCTATAACTCCAGCCAAGGGCGTTAAAATAATTTCTAAACAGCGGACAGCTATCCATGAAAATATGGAGAAGCTGCTAATGGTGTGGTTAACGGAGAAGCAGTTCGCAGGAGATAACGTGACGAAGGCTATAATCTGCGAGAAGGCACGAGCTATTTACGCAGATTTGCTGCAGCAGGCCCCAGGCACCTCAATGGACGAGGCATCGGGTGAGCCGTTTAAAGCCAGTCGGGGCTGGTTCGAAAATTTTAAAAAGAGGACCGGCACTCACTCCGTTGTCAGACGTGGTGAGGCAGCGAGCGCGGATATAAAGGAAGGTGACATCAATGAGCTCATCGAGGAGCACCCCGAGGAACTGACAGCGCAGGAGCTAAAGGAGCCACAGACGCAGCAGCACACGGAGGTTGTGCAGGAAATAGATGACACGGAGGAGGAAGAGGGGGAGGAGGTTATCTCTGTAAGTGAGATAAAGGAAATGTTGGGAATGTGGGAGAAACTTTCAGACTTTATTCAAAAGAAACACCCAGAAAAAATTGCAACTGGGCGTGCGATGGAGCTATTTAATGACACTTGCCTAACTCATTTCAGAAATATTCTGAAAGGGAGGATGGAACAGATCTCATTGGACAGGTTTTTATCGAAAACTCCTGTAGGTGAAAGTGATGAAAGCGTGGCGAAAAGGGCAAAAATCAGCAAATAAGATTCAGTTATTCAGTTCAGCCTTTCTCCTCCAACTCCATCAGCATTTTTAAGTCGTTTGATCGCCAAGGTAAATGTTGTACATTAAACTTAATAAAACAAGTTTATTGCACTACATTCTCTTGTTCAGTATTGTGTTTTTATACAATATTCGTTATTTCTAAATACATTTTTCTTATTTAAAAACATTTAACAAAACAATTGCAGTGTTTTTTTGGGTGTCCGGAACGGATTAATGGCATTTCAATTCATTGTAATGGTGAAAATTGATTTGACATACGAGTAATTTGAGTTACGAGCTCCGTCACGGAACGAATTAAACTCGTGAGTCAAGGCCCCACTGTAGTCTGTTTGCTCATACAGAACCCAGCTACGTAGCTTAAACATTATCAGGCGCATTTCTCTCAGAAGCAAGAGATCCACAGCTGTTGGACCAGCTTTGTCACCCTTAGCATGGCGCTCCAGCTCCGGTCCAGATTCCTTACCCAGTGGAAACAGAAGTGGAGGGGGAGGGCCCATAGCCTCCCTCACCGGCCAGGCCCCAGAAGCAGCAAGCCTTGTGGCCAGTGGGAGATGAGCAGACCTAGGCCTGCTCAGGCATCAGGGCATCGAGGCGGAGGGGACTGGGAATGGTTTCAGGAAGGGCAGCCATACCCAGCTGAAACGCTGCAGCACCCGGAGTAGGACAGCTTTCTGGACAGTCGGCACTGTGTTGTGGAAATGAGGTGAAGGGTCGCTCTTTCCCGGGGAGGGTAGACCATGAGCGGCCTCTTAGTGAAAGGAATGGGTGATCCTCATCTTGAAAGACCAGGCTACGGGATGACGAGGTCAGTAAGAGCATGCAGATTGCAGGAGCCATGTGAGCAAAGCGGAGAACCCCTTCTCCCCCCAACATGGCAACCTCAGGTGACTGAAGTGAAGGTAACAGTGGAGCAGATGTTCTCAGCAGTGGCTGTACTGCTGCCATCTAGTGGGTGGGGCCAAAAGTGCTGTCCGAATCCTGCCGTGCCCAGGACAGGCCCTGTTATCAGGCCCCCAACGCTAGGGTGGACCTAGAGAGAGGGGCTGCAGCTGGGTGAATAGTGTTTTATTGGGGTCACGCAGAGCATGATCGGGGTACAGGAAGTCTAGGTAAGGCTCTGTCCTTGGTGGGTGCCCCGAGTCAGGCGTGCAGATGTGGTGCAGACTATTTGCTCCTTAATAAATGTAGACTTGGGCTACTTCTCTGGGTGCCAGGCAACTGCTCCAGTTCTCGGAATCTCTTACCCAGTGAAAAGTAGGAGACGGCCTGGGTTCTCGCAGCATCTCTCTCAGGGCATGACCCAGAAGTGGTATCCCTTGTGGTTAGTGGAATTGTGAGATCCAGCGAATGGAGACTTAGAAACAGCATTTCTGTCCCGCATCGCAGCCCAAGTGCAGTGTGATGGCTGGCCCCATGGCTTCAGGGACTCAGGCTCTTACTGGGTTGCTTTGACATCCCAAGGACGTTGCTCTCACAGGCATGGTCTTTACTGCCACCTTAAAGACATATCCGAGCCTGGTCGGTGTGGCTCAGCGGTTGAGCCTCAACCTAAGAACCAGGAAGTCACAATTCAATTCCCAGTCAGGGCACATGCCCAGGTTGTGGGTTCAATCCCCAGTGTGGGGTGTGCAGGAGGCAGCCAGTCTATGATTCTTTCTTGTCATTGATGTTTGTATCGCTTTCTTCCTCTCTGAAACCAATAAAAATATATTTTTTAAAAAGACAAGTGCTAGAAGCTACACGCATCACTTGGATTAATGAAGTCTTGAATCTGTGTGGCCAAGTGCCCAGCTGCAAAGGGAACATTCTCTTCACCAAGAAAAAGGAGGACTGACACGCAGGCTGGTGGTGTCGGACCCAGCCTGGGTGGGAAGCATCTGTAGGTGAAGCATCTATAGGTCAAGTCATTTAAGTCTTGAGCCTGATCTTTGCCAAATCGGTAGGACAGTGGTTCTTAAACTTCTATTTTGAGATCCTTTTACATTTAGAAATTAAAGCTCCCTCCCCCCAGAAAAAGAGTTTTTGTTTTATCTATAGTTGTGGCATTAGCAATCTTAAACTTTAAAATAATTATTCATTTAAAAATACAGTGGGTCCTTGACTTACAAGTGTCCTGACTAACGAGTTTTTTGAGATACCAGCTGTCTCTCGGTCGATTTTTTGCATTGAGTTGATAGAGCAATTTGAGTTAACGAGCTCAGTTTCGGAACGAATTAAACTCGTAAGTCAAGGCCCCACCCACTGTGACAGAAAACCCATTCTGTATTAACATAACACCTTTATAAAAAGCATTTTCCCCAACCAAAAAATAGCATAGTTTATGCCTTCGCAAATCTCTTATGTCTGGTTTCATAGTCGGCTGGGTCCTCAGCTGTTTCTGTGTATAGTCCATTGTCATGTGTTGTTTTGGTTGAAGCATCTGAAGAAAACCTGGCCTCACATACAGGGCGGGCAAGGGGAAGTTTACAACTGTGAGCACACAAAATACTGAGCTTGTTCTTGTGTTATTATGTATTAACTA